GGCTCTGCTCTGCCGTCATCAGCTTCTCAGCCTCCACTGTCGGCCGCACTGGTTCCGACCCTGCAGCGACTGCACGCACGTGCAGGAAGGCAGGGGGCAGCCAGGCAGCCTCTCGCTGAGGTTGTGAGGCCTTGACTCATCTCGCTAGGCTAAGGAAGGCGTCCTCTGGCAACGAAACCCCAGAGATTCTGTTTCTGCTTCTTTGGGCTTTGGGGTAGTCAGATGTCCTGTTGTGTAAATGTTCAAGAGTGAACCGACTCTTCTGTTACAACCGCGAGCCAGTTTGACCTTAGCAGGAGAATGGCCGTACATTTTCAAGTTGCAGACATAGATATGAAAATTTAGGACAAGAAGAAATCATGCTTCCAGCTCGATTCTGCTCACACACCGAGGCAGCATGTCAGGTGGGACAGCCTGTCACCCACAGAGGTGGGAGTGACCCTTGATGAGAAAGGCCAGCTGCTCGGAGCTGCCTGCTGCAGTCCGCAGTCTGTCCGCAGGGCCCTCTCTGCGATGCTGCATCGCCATGTCGCTCTCCCTCACCCGGTCGATAAGTTCAGGCCGTGCGGTGGGGTCCGACGCCCCCCTTGTGGGTTCCAGCACACGGAGCGCTGTCCTGGGTCTAAGGTAGTGAGACGGCCCGGAAGTCTGGAGGCCCCCTCTGTTTCTGGGGCTGTCGTCATGGCCCTGAGGGGTGTGCAGTGAGCTTAGTAAAGGCAGGACTCTCCCTCCACACTCTGGTTTGATTCCTCTTTTCCCGCTTGCCCAGAAAGACTTTTTCCTTTTCCCACTAGTGCCTAGACAGCCTCTTGATTTCTACAGAATGGGACTCCGGAAGGGACTGTCCCAAACCGCACCTGCCACCTCGTTTCCGTTTCAGTGCGACTGTCTCGCTCCGGGCGGAGTCTGTCCAGGGTACCTTCTGCAGACACGGCCCCTTGTCTGGCTGAGGGTGGGGGGCGCACGGCCCGCGCTGGTGGGAACAGAAGGCCTGGTCTTCCCTGCAGTGCTGGCTACCTTCTGCCAGCCAGAGGTGTCTGCGAAGACCATGGTACACTCCGAGGAGGGCAGGCGGGCTGGCCGGGCATCGCGCTCTGTCACGTGCTCTATGTAAATACGTAGGACATTGCTCGGATGTTTCTGAAATCATTTGCTATCTGAAGTTCATGTCAGTCTCTCCTCTCAGCTTGTTGTGTAACATTGTAAATAACGTAATGTCCTTTATTATTTATATTTAAACATCTAACATAGTTGTTTTCATGTTTAAGATAGGTGTCAAAAATATGCTTTTTGTTTTCCTTTGCTTTAAAATTATGTATCTTTTCCTTTTTCTTTTTTGAGAATAATTTATTGTTTA